CGGCATTATCTCAAGTTAAACGTCTCGAAGACAAAGGAAATGATTATAGATTTTCGGAGAAGTCCTTAAGCAAGACCACCGCTTACTATTCAGGGGTCGGCTGTGGAAAGAGTTCACAGTTATAAGTACTTGGGAACAACGGTATCTGATTTACTTGATTGGTCATCTAATGTTACCTTGCTTAGAAAAAAACGTAATCAGTACTTCTTGAGAATGATGAGAAAGATGCATGGAGACAAAAACAATTCTGATTCTTTTTTTACAGATCATTGATATAGACTCGGTAGAGACTATAGCTATATACAACATAATATGCTAGTTTGGGAATGCAACTCAAAAAGATACGAAGAAGTTAGACAGTACGAGGAGAGTGGCACAACGGATAATTGGCAGTAGCCTACACGCAGTATCCACACCATATGAAGAAAGAGTAGTTGCTAAATTTAAACGAATCATGAACGATCGACCCCCACCCACCCGCTTCATACTATACATTTACAATAAGTCATGCTTTCGTTTGTGTGTGCCCAGGTCTGCTCAAGTGAGAACTCGGCAACCATTCATACCAAACTCCATCCACATGTACAACGGAATGTCTCGAAGACCCAGTGTTGTTCTTTAATATAATATTCAATTAATAATTCCCTAATTGGTTTCAGACGTAAATGCATGTATACCTGACCTCCTCAGTATATCTATCTCACGTGTTGATTCGTTTGATCACCTGACACCTCCTCTTGCTCTGCTTTAATCACTATGTTAACTATTGTCCTAAATTTGTGTTTATAAAATGTGCTTAATCATATGTTAAACTTTGTTTATTTATTGTTAATGTCTAAACAAAATTGTAAATTTATTAGTAAATGTTAATCTGTATATGTTACACCAGTGAAAATCAAATATCCAGAAATGGACAATAAATATTAAATACTAAAATGATTCGAAATTACCGAGCGATTACGGATTTCAACTCATCATCATTGTATACGATGGTACAATATTTTTGTGGTAATGTTTAAGGTTTACGAGGACTGCAGAATTTGTTTGTTTTTATCGTTTTTGCGTTGTTACACTTAGAAATAAAACATCTAAATTAGGATGTTGACGTGGTTCATGAAAAAATATAAATCATTTGATTATACTATTCTCCGTTGTACTACTGTGAAGTAACGTTAAACGTACTGCATCTCTATTGCAGGCTAAAAACATAAAAGTGTATCAATACAACGTTCTATAGAAAAAGAAATGTTGTTTTAAGATCCCCCTCCGAATATAGGAACTGAGTCACAAATTTTAATGAAATAATCGAGCGCTCCTCTTAAAGGGCCACTCTAACCAAAACGGGCTAAAAAAAAAAAAAATGAGGAAAAAAAAGACGTGTAGAAAATTTTTGACGGAGATTCCGAACATGACAATGATTTTTCTTAGAAATCTGCAATAATTCTTGAATGTAGCTTTAAAAGTGTTTCAGAGCTGTATTGCGCAATAGCATATGACGTCACTGCAGGCACCTCTCCGGTGAAAAGGATGGTAATTTAGACATTAAAATGTCTTTAAAATGGCAAACTATGATATTAATTGGAAAAAGACATTTAACGGAAAAGAAATATGTACTTGATAATCCCAGTACATTTCTGGCAATTTCGTCATTCCTAACGTAAGATCCTTAGTTGCAGGACAAATCGGACATGCCCACAATGACGTCAAATGCGTCATGAAGGCCACGAGACCGTATTAACCTTTTTTCGAGGGGCGTAGCCCAACAAGCGTGAGAACTGTGAAAATGAATATGACGTCACTGCAGGCACCTCTCCGGTGAAAAGGAGGGTGATTTAGACATTAAAATATCTTTAAAAGGGCAAGCTATGATATTAATTGGAAAAAAGACATTTACCGGAAAAGAAATATGTACTTGATAATCCCAGTACATTTCTGGCAAAATGGATGGTTATTTTAATATTTTGGTCAATTTAGAGATTTTCTGAAAAATCAGAGGCTGGAATATTAATAAGTAGAGGTGTATTCATGTTTTGAAAGGCTTTGTTAGTTGGGTAAGAGTGGCCCTTTAAAGCGGGACTGCACTACTTGTAGCTACTTGCACCCTCTAGCAATCAATGCCTAAGCGGTACCCGTTGGTCCCTCATGATTCCCTTTTTCTTATGTAAATTGAGAGCTAATTTGATGAGATAACCACCTGTCAGTGGCCACGCAGGGAGGTCCAATCCCTCCAGGCCAAAGTAGTGCAAATAGGCTTTAAGTTCAAAATACGAGCGTTACATGTAACACACGCGATCTGAAACAAACTGAATGATTCTTGAATTTAGAAAGAAAAAAATCAACCTCTACCAAACGGTTTTGTTTGCAAAATCGGCCTTGCGACTGATGTTGAAGCCAATGAAGCTATATACGATATTCGTTATCCAATCAAATGTAATTCATTAATCTTGTCAAGTGCTATGTTATAAATTATATCATTCACCAGTTACAAGAAAAATATTTAAATCGTCGGAATGCGAATTGCATACATTAATATTTCCTAGGTAGGACAATTACATGTATGGCTCGTCCTACCTAACAACACGGAATGTAAGCTATTCCCATTCTGGCCATTGAATTAATACAATTATTCGTAGCCGGTAAATGAAATGAAATAATTTGTACCGAGGCACTTACATAACGATTACATAACGAAAATGGTCTGTAGATTTGATGTGGCTAAGCAATGGCGTCGTTACTGTGAGCCCCCAGAATCAAAACCGTGTCGATGTGCTTTATTAGTGCCCTTTTATGAGGCATTAATGCTCATTACTGTCATTACTCTCATTGCTGTCACTGGAGAGAGATCTCCAGAGACTCCTGAATGTAGTTGTAAAAGAAAGTGAGAGAATGGGACTAGAGATCAACTATACCAAGACAAAGTGCCTAGTGGTATCCAAGAAGAGCAGTCCAAAATGTAACTTGAAACTGAAAGAACAGATTATTAAACAAGTCTCCTCATTTAACGGCAGCATGATCACCGAGGATGCCAGATGTGAGACAGAGATTAAGAGAAGGATAGCTCTCGCTAAATCTGCATTTTCAAAGTTAGGCAAAATTCTGACAAATCGAACAATGAGTATGAGGAACAGAATAAGAGTATTGAATTGTTACATCTACCCAGTACTTATGTATGGTAGTGAAACATGGACTTTAGCCTCTGATACTAAAAAGCGTTTGGAAAGTTGCGAAATGTGGTTTTTAAGAAAAATGATGAAACTCCCCTGGACTGACAAAGTCAGTTATGGGGAAGTTCTTACACGAGCTGGAGTGCAAAGGAAAATGATACGTGAGATGTTGATTAGGCAGTTGAAGTTAATTGGTCACATTACACGTAAAGAAGGCCTAGAGAATCTTGCTTTGACAGGGAAAACTGTGGAAAGAAGGAGTAGGGGAAGAAGGAGGATACTTTGGAAGGACAGTCTGCAGAAATTGTTGGAAGAGAGAGGAGTGAAAGAACTGGGAGTGGCACTAATACAGATGGCTAGCCGAGCCGAGGGTTGTGGAACAGCATGATCGCCAAAGTCAAACGATATGGCACTTAGAGAGAGAGAGAGACTGTCAGTTATGACTAAAGGACATAAGTCCCCTAGATTAGCATTTTAGCACACACATGATTTAGCATTTACGCGAAACAAACACTCACAAATTAATATTCAATAAAATTTGAGAATGTATACTATTATCTAGATCTACTAGGTATAAATCATTGTCAAAATCATTCCATAAATTGGGGTAAAAATAATTATTCCACCGTTATGACCAACAGTGTAGTTGCAATGCTATTATTTCTCAAATTATAATGAATTTAGTATATATAAATGTGATGGCATTTCACATAATTCAAAAAGGGATATGAAACCGATTCTGATAACTAAAATATTTTGTTTGTAAATACACAGGATAGGGTTAATGAACAATCAAAGAAACTACACTTTCAAATTGAAAAAAAAACCCGGAATGATAGCATGTTCCCTCTCAAAATGCCGAACAAACCGCGGTGTATGCAGCCAAAATACAATGGCGTCTTATTTTGTTCACAAGCGACGGATTCCTAAATTTTTCATCGCTGCATTTATCATCAAAATAATACCATCCGAGGGATTTAGAGCAATAGATTAAACATTTAGCCTGACGGTAGTGAAGTAAGAGAATTTAATTATGCATTTAATATATTTGTTTGAATTCAATATATTTGTTTAATATCGTTTATTATCTGTATAAAATTATATACACTTGAAATATTGTATCAAGCCATGTTATGTTCATGAAAATGTATGATGAAAAAAGAAGAAAAAAAGAAGATGCAGAAACCAATAAATCAAATCAAATCAAATCAAATCAAAACAGGCACTGGAAATGTGTGAGGTGTCATGGGACAGCGTCTACTTGTGCAAATCATGCCCAACCTGTGATGTCACACATATACCATCAGTGTTCGTAGAGCTCTTCGGGTGCTATGCCAGGGTTGTATTTAATCGTATTGTAGTTGATAATAATCATTACTTTGAATGTTTCAAACATTGAATTTTGATAAAATTGTCCAATCAAAGTTTCACCTTAGCAATAATGAAAATAAAATTTGTTTTTTAAATCTTAGAACAGCTACTTTAAGAGGGCCTAATGGATTCCCGAAATCATCGGTTAAGTTAATGTCGGATCTTTTTCTTTTCTCGCCCCTGTTTAATATTAAGCCCTAAATGAAGGAGAATGTGAACTGGACAGCTCACACATAACGTTGAATTACTACTGACACTTGCGTTGATTTTCTTTACAGGTAAAAAGTAGGTTTAAGTAGGCAACCAGGAACTGACGATTTGAGTTCTCTCCAAGGGACTTGGTAATGAGGATTGATGCCTTACCAAAGGGCACTATCACATCGACTCTTCCACTGCTCTTCCATCTCAGCTCTCAGACTCAATGCCCTGGGTTCATGTGTCTGTTTGTATTTTATTTTTGGACAGGGGCTGTGGCAAACCCTGACGTGGGGGAGATGAAGTATCTGACCACTCTTGTATCACCCAACTATCCCGACCCGTATCCCTACGACACAACCCAAGAATGGATCCTGGAAACCGCACCTGATGAAAAGGTAGAATGTCAGTTACCCGGTCTTCATGCACCTCTTAGATCAGGAATATTCTCAATGTATTGAAACCATGAATCATTATTTGTGGCTATTTTATACAGATAGTCTAATAGTCTAATTTTGAATTTGAAAATGGAAGGGTGATCACATACCTAATACGAGCAAGGTTCATGATCTTTTTTTTAATAGAACGCGGAAATTCTTAAACCTCTTATTGGATAAAGCAGAATGAATGGCATTAATAAAATGTATAATCTAAGTTGAAATGGTGTACAATTATACAATTTTCCTGAAATAAGTACTCAAGTTTATGAAGTTATTATGTTAAAAGTGAGTAGTGTATAGAATTGTGATTAAAAGCCAAATATTTCGTAGAACAATACAACAAAGTGAAGGACTTTTGATTAAAGAGCTAAATCTATTAACCCGACGATCGTTGAGTGGCAAATACCTTACCTCAAAGGTGTTTTTGTTTTGGTATCTTAATCAGATGACCGTTCTACTATATTCACTCGAGCTCGAACGGTTTTGGGACATGCTCAGTTTTACCCACATTTCACACCAAGACAATATTGTTACATCATATCGACTGGGCACGAACGCAGTGACATCACTGTCCTTGGCGAGTGGCCACCTCAGCGTGCATTTTTGTAGTGACCGAGTCCTGGATTTGAATGGTTTTGCCTTGAATATCTTTACCGCAGATAATCGTAAGTGAACGAAAGAATTTTGTTATCTCTATATGATATGTTGAATTGAATTGAATTGGTTTGGTTTATTAAGAAATCACATTAAACAAGCAGCTCGCAGGCTGAAAATGTTCAATTAACAAACAAATTAAAAATATAGAGAGATATAAACATATACAAAACTAAAATACATATTGTAAGTCATTGTAAGATGAAATCGAAATTGCAAAACGGGTGTGGCAAATGGGTACCAGGTCTACAATTCATTCAACTCTATCATTATTAATATGTATATTGTATATACTGATGTGTATCTAATTGTTTGTCTCTTTACCGGTTCTAGGACACCGACCCCGTGAACATCCACCCCCGGATAACCACCCCAGTAAACTGTCCCCTAGGACATCTACCCCCTAGGGTAACCACCCTCTAGGATGACAACCCCCGGACAACTACCCCCCCCCCGACAACTACCACTAGGACAACTATACTCCAGGTCAAGTACCCCCCCCCCCAGGCAACTACCCCCTACGACAACCATCCTCTAGGACACCTACCCCCCGGACTACTATCCTAGGGGGTAGTTGTCCTGGGATAGTTGTCCGGATTGTAGTTGTCCCGGGGTAGTCGTCCCAGAGGGCGGTTGCCCTAGGGGGTACTTGTTCTAGGTGGTAGTTGTCCTAGGGGGTAGTTGACTGGGGGAAGTTGTCCGGGGGGTTATCGTCCTAGAGGGTGGTTACCCTAGGGGGTCGATGTCCTAGGGGGAATTGACCGGCGTGGTTATCCGGGGGTGGATGTCAACGGGGTAGGTGTCCAGATACGCTCTTTACCGTATGAATACAACAATTAGACTGTACAATTTGTATGTTCTTTGAGTCTTTAATAAATTGAAAATTGAGAATGAACCTTTATGTATGAATTTTATCTATGCACTAAATTTGAAATATAATATAAATTTGATTTTGAATTTGAATACTTCTGATTTTTCTTGCAGACATTCCTACAAACGAGAGCGATATCGGCGACTTCATCTGTGAATCAGAAACACAGAGTATTTCCTATAGCTCCCGATGTGATATGATTGTGGACTGTCATGATTTTTCCGACGAAGTTGGTTGTGGTGGTAAGGAATTCTCTTCATCTGTGATGACTATTAAATCAGTGACGTTCAGTGGGGGGGGGGGGGGGGTCCAGGGTTCTCTTGTAAAGATGGGGGAGAATATATAATAGGGCAATAAGACAAAAAAATTGAAAAAAAATCTGAAATGCCTTTTTATGCGAAATATCTCAGACAAGCAATTTACTGTTAATGAAATTGATTTACAATGTTCTCAACTCTTGATTTCGGGGGGCTAAATTTATGACAAGCAAAAATTAGTTCTAACATCTTTCAGGTCCTTGCTTCGACAAAATTTGTGCACATTTTTGTCTTCTTTCTGTGTGTGTGTGTGCGCCTGTGTGGGTGTTCGCGTGTGTATGTGTGCGTGTGTTTTGTGCGTTGGGTGTTAGCGTGGGGTGGTTAGTGTGGGTGTGAACAGGCTAGGATGATAATCCCGAGTGTGTATTGAATATTACAGTTTGCCCGGATGACAGCTTTCATTGCCGAGAGACTGATGTCTGTATCCTACCTGGACTTCAATGTGATGGATGGCAAGACTGCCCGCATGGAGATGACGAGGAGATATGCGGTAATTAAGCGGCTCCGATTAACCTCTGAACTTCTGTCCTTCCATATCGCTTTTTACATGTATCTCTCTAACTCGCAACCAAAACCTTCTTTCTCTTTTTTTTTGTTTATCTTCCTCGTTTTCTCTCCCCTCTCTCTCTGTTTGTCTCTCAATCCCCCTTTTCTCATTTTATTTCTCCCAGTCTTTCCTAACTTCATTTCCCCCTCTCTGTATATCTCTCTCCATCCTCTCTCTCTCTCTCTCTCTCTTTCTTACTCTCTCTCTCTCTCTCTCTCTTTCTATTTGCGTGTGTGTGTGTGTCATCTCGCTTCTATCTGTGTCTCACCATTTCTTTTGTTTCCTAGATCTGTCAATTAAAACGGGGTCTTTCTCCCGTTTTCTTTCTCTCTGTCTATCTCTCTCTCTCTCTCTCTCCGTCATCCATCAAAAATATACTCTCTAAAGGCCGTTGGTGTATTATAAATGTTGTATTCACAAAATAAAATTAGCACTATCAGCCACAGTTTGCGTACTATCACTTTGCACTCATCCACTGCATTTCTTGAATAACCAAATACTGACCGTACCAGGATTACGATACAATACTTTTTTTTTAAAATATTGGCGTATCTAGTCTTGATAAAGTCTTTTTGTACGTAAGTCTTAACTGGGATAGATATTCTATCATATTGTCGTACTTTCTTTTTGCTACGGTGTCTCTGCAGAAACGTTAAAATGTCCCGCTGGTTGCTCCTGTGGCGAGTCTCCTTTCAATGAAGGCCATGGGCCCCAGTCGCAACCCTGTAGCAAACCAACATGGCTGTCGTTCTGGGTTAATTGTAGCAACACCTGGAACGGAGATTATGCCAAGAATACTGCGATTAAATCGACTGTCATGTGAGTTTATAAATCTTTTTAAAAAATAAGGGAAATAAATGTCAGGTCAAATGTTAGTACTATCGGCTAAATTAAAATGTTTTTAGTTGGTAACAGTGCCGGTTGCGCACGAAGCGTCATTATTCTACCTGGCGAAGGACTGCGTCAGAGACACTCCAGCACCATGTGAGGGTAACACTGTAGGCCCACAAACAATGGTTCTGTTATTGAAAGATTTGATTGAAAACTACATATCCATTATCGCATTCATACGACTGAATTAACGTTCATTACGACCATAGTGCTTAATCAAAAAGAAATGTACACAAATTGACAAAGAATGGAACACAAGAAATGAAAGAATATTATAGAATATAAGTCATTATTCTCAGATTTGTCACCACTCGACAACCGACGAAGTTTTAACATAGAATGACCCAGAAACTTGGGCCCAGCGAATCTCTGACCGAAAAGGCCTACGTGAGCTACAGCATTGTGATCCTGGAGACTGAAGTCACAACACTAATTGTAAAATTCGAAAATGACCAAAATTGCGTTGAAGTTGCCGAAGTATGAGATGATTGCTTCCAGAGGGTTGTTTAGCGTAGGTACCAACGCCTCGTGTGAAACGGGTCTGCGTCGATTTCAGTGATGTGTCTGTTGAATCAAAGTATAGAATATCCATGCAATTACTTAATGTGTGCTTATTAAAGCTACGTAGGGAATCATTCATTCGTGTATGGTATATTGATAGAAAATTATTTCAAGTGAAACAAAGGCTTCCTTTATGAAGCACCTTCAGCAACTTGAGAGTTATCATTCTGAAAGGCACAAAGAGAGACCTCTCCATAATGTTCAAAGGATCTGTGGATATTTTGATTCATGTTTAACATTATGAGCTAACTTCGAGCTTGTTTATTTCATTTGCCTCTTTACTTTAATTCATTCCTTCAAAGTAGGATTTATTTTCTTCCTGTCATTTGTTACATTTTTACAACATGTTCAATATAAAATGTAGCTCGCCCAGATCTTTTTTGTCCAATACGTTCCCGACAACATGAAAATTATATTAGTAAATGTATTTCTATTTCTATTTCAATCGATAAACAGCAAACAAGTAAATCATCCTACCCCTTGTAAATATGGGGGTAATTTTCCAAACTAAAAAAGGAAAGGTGGACTGTTTGACATATGACCTCCGTTGAATACCTTTACATGTAAGCTTTAATATGTCACATTCTCTAGAAACATAAATCGGGACAAATCAATTGTTCACATACATCACGTTCACTTATTTAGTTGTTAACTGTATGTGTATATACATATGATTGTTGTATCAAACGAAATATGAGGTAAATGATATAATATCAAACCGTTTGGGAGATGTCCAAGTGGTAGCCCAAGCCTGGGGGATTCTTCTAGAACCTCAAGGGCATAATGTGATCCAATCTTACACCTTCTAGAAATCTGAGTGGCACGCCGTTATACGAGAACCTTGAGGTATCATCATTCTACGGTCTCCATCAGCTCCATGCCTTGTAAGTCGAAGTCTTTTCTACTTCTACCGGAACAAAATTTTGAGTACAGCCCATGCTTTTTTAGAGTTAAAAAAGCTGGCTAGAAGTCATTCTGAATGATTGATCTTGTAGTAAATACGAATAAGTGTGAATTTTTAAGAATGATATTTAATTCACTTGAAATAAACGTTATAAACGATGTAAATATGTTCATGTTTATGCAGGGCCCCATGGAAGAGCACTACTTGTAGGTGAATGGGCTACCCTGTCAAAAGATTAGAATAAATAAATAAAATAAATAAAATTCCAAAGAATAGAGAGAGATTGTTTTGTGTTGCTAAAAAGCGGACACCACCGTAATTTGTTACTAAGATACGGATAAGTGGCGCCATTGATCATAAGAAATATATCACACATTCAAGGTGAAGCTGAACTATTTCCCATCACTTTTTTTGTGCGTGAATCAATATCGCAATCATTACCCGCTGATACTTGAATATTAAGCATCTTATGTTTGGTATGTTTTTTGTGTCCTCAGGTTAAACTGGTCATAAACTATTTACAGACTTTGTGCAGATGATCAAATTGGTACCATCCATCTTCTGCATATTATATGCAGGGGGGGTAAGGGCCGACCCCACCCTTTGAAGAATAAATTCATACTCTTAGAAAGCCGATTATGTTAAGGTCAAAAGCTTCTACCCTCCAAGTTTAAAACATTTCAAACTCTCTTCCTTTTTCTCCTCCTTTTGACGATACTCCATACGGCCCGAAGTGCTACTGTTTTTCTCTGTTTGAAATCCATTCACAAAGAATTACAAAAAAATCCTGTACAACACATTCTAAAACTACTACGTACAGGATTTATGGTAATTCTTGAATGTGTTGATATGTCTTGTTGTCGCCTCATCAACTTTAAAGGGACTTTGTAACATTATTCAGATGAGATAATCTGGTGCTAAGGTAGTGACTTCAATGCTAGATGTACAATTAAAGATAATCTGAAAGTTTGAGTGAAAACGGGCCATGATTAATGATAAAAATTTGAAAAAACTGATCTGATCGGCTCCTTAACTCTCCCAACTATATCATTACAATTTCATTATATTTTAGGTGACTGTAAATCATCACAAAGCAATGAATTGGCTCTATATACCATCCCAGACATTTAAGTGTTGAACGTTTTTGAAAAGCCTGTCTTTTTCTTATTTTCAAGGTAAACGGTTGGGAAAATTCAAAAATGGTTGCAAAAATTTACTGTTTATCAGGGTGTTGCACAGTGATGCTTTCAAAGAAAGCCATAAATATCTTTGTGGTTTGAGAATTTTCTCAGGATTTTTTTCTGTTAGAGGGTAAGTACAGTAGAAGGAATATAATTAGTAACATTTTATACAAAAATGACACAGTTTTTTCTTCAACCTATAATAATGTTACCGAGTCACTTGAATACTATTCTTCCAGAAGGCCCTGTCATGATATTATTACACCGACTTTAGCCGATCTACCATAAGGAATTTCCCGGCGGAATTTCTTCTTAACATGTACCCACTTACTACGCTTGGGTTGAGTGAGGCAAATGTAGATTTAATGTCTTGTTACAGGACATTACTGCAGGGGCGAACCGCAAACCGTGTGATGCATAATCTGTTGACGTATCTATTAGACCACTATCTACTAAAAAGTGTCTGTGATCAAAAAAATTGTGGAGAACAACGTAAGCGACGTGAACACACAACGTAGTGAAAAATAGTGAAAGACAATCATAATGTATTAATATCATTCAATCTATTTCAGCTACTTGGATTCCTGTCAGTTGGAGTATTTACCCCCAGGGGTATTCCGAGATCAGAATCGAGTTTGGCGAATGTAAGCTCTCCTTCTTCTTCTCCCAAAAATTTGTCCTTTCATTTCCATTGAAGTCGAATATTCATTCGTTCATTCATTAGTTCATTCATTCATGCATTCATTCATTAATCCATAGATTTTCAACAACAAAAAAGTATTTAGACATTGAAGTATGCTTAGCTCATGAGGAACATCAACCTTGTCACTATACTGTAACCAATTTTTGCATTGAAGCCATTTGGTATCGTTTCAAATATTTTGTTAACAAAGAATAATTCTTAATTATTTGTACAGCTATTGTGGATAATCTGCAATATTTTATGAAAGTTAACAATAAAAACGACAACATTATGAGTGAAATCTTCTCTCATTAAATGATATTTTTAGACCTTTTTTGAAGAGTTGATGGCACAAAAGGGCTTAATTTGAGTAATCGGGTTATTGCGTCTAGTAGGGTGATCGCGTTGCACAACCTTTTGTAAAACGAAAGCAGAATATCGTGTGAAGATGCACGTAATGCGGTGGTCACATCCCGCCGTACTTGCAAGTGCGTGCTGTCTACGCGCAAAAACGTGGGCAAAATTTGGGTATCCGTACGTGATGAGTACCGCCTCCGTACGGATTTGGGAGCACGCAGACACACCGTAGCACTTTTAGTGCATGAGGAACTTTCGCTGCGTTCGGGCTGCGTTCGGGCTACCGATTCACCCCAGTGCGTGTGACGTGCGTGCCCGGTACTGCCAACGAGCGCACAACGCACTGACTCCGTGCGTCTTTTAAAGGCGCACGTGATAAGTGCGTGGTCCGTGCTTACTCGCCACTTCCCCAGTTTAGCTATCCAATGAGCACGCAGAACTCACGTGGACCGTACCGAGTAAGCACTTACAACGCACGTTGGTCGCACTGATTTATGCAGTAGATAGCCTCTTCAGTGGAATGGGCGGCATCTTGAGGCAGCAACAGCCTGGACTTCTGGAGAACATCGGAATGTCGTCCTATATGAACACGAGTTCATTGCACGTGCACGCACTTACAACATGCGAGTGAGTAAGGACACCGTACGTGAGCAGCACTTGTAAGTACGGCCTCCATACGATAACGTGGCAACCGCACGGAGTCCGTACGTTGTAAGCACGTTGTAAGCACGTACAACGCACTTACCACGTGCGCAACGTACGATGCACGCAACTGTTCACGGCCAGGCGTGTCGTGCGGGCCACGTACTTACACAGTGCGGGTGACGCGCGTCGCCGGTACTCCCTCCCTGCCTTTGCTACTCCCTCCCTACGTTTTCAGAAAAACTTACTCACTCACATGTTGTAAGTGCGTGCACGTGCGATGAACTCGGTGTTTATATATGACGACATTCCGATGTTCTCCAGAAGTCCCAGCTGTTGCTGCCTCAAGATGCCGCCCATTCCACCGAAGAGACTATATACTGCATAAATCAGTGCGAACAACGTGCGTTGTAAGTGCTTACTCGGTGCGGTCCACGTGAGTTCTGCGTGCTCACTGGATAGCTGAACTGGGGAAGTGGCGAGTAAGCACGGACCACGCACTAATCACGTGCGCCTTTAAAAGACGCACGGAGTCAGTGCGCTGTGCGTTCGTTGTGCGCTCGTTGGCAGTACCGGGCACGCACGTCACACGCACTGGGGTGAATCGGTAGCCCGAAAGCAGCCCGAACGCAGCGAAAGTTCCTCGTGCACTAAAAGTGCTACCGTGTGTCTGCGTGCTCCCAAATCCGTACGGAGGCGGTACTCATCGCGTACGGATACCCACATTTTGCCCACGTTTTTGCACGTAGACAGCATGCACTTGCAAGTACGGCGGGATGTGACCACCGCATTAAGGACACGACCTTTCATAGATTTGCCGTAGGGTTTTCACAAAGTATCGGGGAAATAATACCAGACAATTAGTAGCCGAGGTGGAGTTTATTTCACAATAATTATTCCCGACATTTATTGAATAAACGAGCCTAAAAGTCGGGTAACGTGATCACCCGACCCGTCGCGATGAACCGATGATTCGAATTAAGCCGCACAAAAGGATGGCACAGTAAAAGGTAACAGATAAAATGAAATATACGATACTGTATCTAATCAGCGCTGTGTTGTTTGGAGAACCTGCTGTTGTTGGTGATTGTGGTGGAGGCAGTACTTTTCTTCTTCTTTCTTCACCATTTTAATCGTTCTTTCTTTCTTTTTTTCATCCAGGGCACTTTTCAATAATAGTCTGACTTACCTCGAAAACGGGACATTTGAAGGACTCACAAATCTTCGTGCCTTGTAAGATACTCAAATTCTTCTCAGTTATATACATGTACAGCAAACTCTTAAGAGATATTGTTATTGCGTTTTGTGTAAATGTAATGAAATGACTACAGGTGTTTAGGCAGGTTAATGCATACCTTCTCTGTATACACTGTCCATGTCCTTTTATCCATGCCCATGCATGCTCATTTAAGTGTTGACCATTGTTTAAGTCATGGCTTACACAAGTTGCAGTGGTTGAATTGAATATGTGTATACATGTACCATACAGGTGTAGGTCTGCAACTAGTGTAAGGCTTCATTGTTATTTGGCCATTCTAACATAGTTTGAATTCTTTTTGAGTTAGAATGAAAAGGAAAGGAGTGTTAGCTCCTTGGTCATGTTGGTAGAGGAGTCATGATTTGGTGGGCTCTGAGAAAGAAGGTTAGGTTTTGGGCGGGAAAGTTCATAGGTCACAGGGTCATAAAAGTGTTGAAGAATGCCAGAAAAATATTTCGTTACCGCGATAGCTTGGAAAGTATTGAAGCAATTCAAACCAATCAGTGATCATACAGACGGATGCATAATATTAGAGACGAAGTCGCATTCATCTTGTTTTCAAATATGATATGATTTATATTTTCTGTGCGGTTTACATAATTTTTGAAATTTTATATTGTGATTTTTGCTAGACTCCATACCAAGTTTCAATATTTTCACGCATATTTTTTTCTTCTTCATAGTAGGGCCGTGTTTTCATGGTAGGGCCTTTATATGGTAATAGTGTTAATAATGATGATGGTGATGGTGGCAATTTGGACGTACATGTAAGTGCCTTGGTAGGTATTCGATCGAACTCCGTAAATTATCAAAACACTGCATTTAATTTACTTCCTAGGTATATGGAGCATAACCTTATATCAAGATTGGATGAAGGCTGCTTCCGAGGTCTCCATAGTGTCTTCATTTTGTAAGAAACTTTCTTTCACTCGTCCCGTGAATATCGTTTTATTTTGTTCATATAGCAAGAATACTGACTGATTTCAAAGCCATTTAAAGAGGCTATTTATTATCAACAAGTCATCGGACGCAGCCTAGGACGCAGGTTCGAAACCGAGTCACGTCTTTCGGATGGTGACGTTAAAGGTCCAAAAACCCAACACACACACACACACACACACTCGAACAAGCAAGTCAATACAGTGAAGTAGTTATACTCATGTGCCGGTGTTCTCCTATATAGCATTTCACCTCCATGATGGGTCTAAACTCGGTCTTAGTTTAGTAAGGGAAATTTGAATGAGGTCTAAGATTTTCTCTCTGAAAGTAGTCACCCGAAGAAAATTCACGACAACTGATAGTTATGGACAAATTATATATGGATGGACAGATTTTCTCTTGAAAAGCACGAATAATTTGCTTGAAAATCATATAAATATCATGGAAAGTCGTATAATGCTGTGTCTCGCATGTGACGTCACGAATCTTGAAGCTCTACGGACGACCACTGAAGGCAGAAAATCTGGATCTCAAAATTAGCATTTTTGAGAGATGATTACTGCAAGCCCCAAACGGATTTTGAAGAGGGAAGTTAGTATATTTGATCAGTAAGGCTTCCCCTTCGCAATGATATGAATTTTGCATCAATTCAAAACACTTTTGATTCTTCGGATGACTACTTTAAACGCGCACGACTTAGACCCGCAGTCGGGTTCAACTGAATTGATTTAGTAAAATACGGAGAATATGACGCTGGATAAAACTACAAGAAGTTGTCATATATTTTCAATTAAATCATGTCTTTCCACTGTCTGTAATCATAATATGGTAAACATATATTGGAGCAGATTGAATTAGACACGTAATGTCGAGCGCGTAGCCCTTTATGAAATTGTTTCTTTTGGTCGGGAAAGCCATCTAGATATTCTCACCTTGCTCCTTCAAAACAGCTCTTCTACATTAATATATAGGGGTTTCCATACATCTTTATTCAGTACTGAATATTCGCAGAAAATTTTGTAACTTGGTTTCTGTGAGAGAAAAAAAAATCGTTGAGTCCAAAATTAGGGAGTGATATTCAATTACGGTGGTACATTATCTTCTTTCCTTTTTAAGTATCGTTTTTCTTTTATGTTTTCACTTTTTTCCATCTTTTCAGTGATTTGGAGAGCAACAAACTGAGCGATTTGAGACATGGAACCTTTGAGGATTTGGGTGGCTCCTTGGAACGTCTGTAAATATCGTTACTGCAGGGGCAAATCCATGGTTATCAGGAAAAGGGGGAGTGGTGAAGATTTCCTGACATAAATTTTTCCCAGCCATTATAATGTATGATTTATATCTATCTCTAAGCTTTCTTTATGGGGGAGAAAAGGCTAGGACCAAAAAAAGGAGCAATAAAATAAAGAAACAAGATCCCGAATTTTTTTCTTTCTCAGAATACGATTTTTGTTGTCTCACTTTTTTCTTAATGGGGCGGCCTTTTCACCCCCCCCCCTTCCCCCCTCCCCCCCCCTCCACCTGGGACTGACCTACGAATGATGACATGAATTGATTGTGGTTGTCTCACGCAAACATGATAACAAAGACAGTGTTATTTACTTATTTTCATATTCTCAATTTTTAAGTATAAGCTAGATTGTTTATGTTTTTGTGAAATAGGCTGCAGCATGGCTAGATATCCATAATCATTATCCCTCTTTCAGAAATTGTCTGTTCATTGACATCCTGTTCGAATTAGCCTTTGTTGGCTCTATTTGCGTTGTTCTGATGGAGTTCCATTTGGGTTTCCAACTTAAGAAATATAAAGAGGCATTTAAATTAAATCAAAACAGCTATAAAATCTTTCGTCATTGTTTAATAATGCATTTTTATTCTTCTTTTGAAAAGTGGATAGATAATTGTTTATTTAAGGAACAGACAAAATAGGGTTCAAAGGTATTTAGGCCTATCTAAGCCAAACCTCTGAACAACTTTTTTATTGCTTAGGTGAAGGTTGTCAGCCGAGAAGAAAAGAATAGTTCGTGCTTCCTCATTCATAAATATGTTAATATGATTTATCATTGATCCTGTTAAAAGTTTTTACCGACTCAAAAAAGGAACTTTAATGAACATACGGCAAATGGAAACGGGCCATTTTTGAATAATATTAAGACATTTGTATTCGTGAATGTTTTTAGAGCTTTAGAGGCCAACTTGATCAGATCCATCAACTCCTCTCTGCTGGCAGGACTCGAAAATGTACTGCAGGTTGTGTAAGTAGTTTCTACGCTCTCAGATATGATTTCTAACAAATTTGAAGTTCCTGCAATATTGGAAAGTACCAAGTACGTGATGAGCTCAACACACATCGTGACAGTTGCAAGACGGCGTTTTAAGAACAGTACAGGGCATGCTTGCGAATCATTCTAGCATGTTGAAATGAAGTATTGTTTCAGCGCAATATGGTCGTTAGCTGCCCGTGATACGTTTGCTGCCTAATAATTCTGACAAACGATGATTATCCCCCGATGAGCAGATTTTTTTTCTCGATAAACTTCGTTTTTCAGTTGATAAATGTGTAATCTTATTGGTAATTTAAGTAATGCTTATTTGTTCAGTTATGTTAGTAATATTTCATTTTCTTGTAATTTAAGTAATGTTAATTCCATTAGTAATATTGATTTTTCTTGAAGTAATCTTTATTTGTATACAGCACTTTGAAACTTCTATATGTCACAAGCGCTATAGATATGTTTCGTATTATTGAATTATTATTGATAAACATAGTTTGCGATATCCATAAACAGTGCTTGTCACCCTAACATTAGAAAGGAGAACTTGAAATACTATGAGTTTTGTGTAGCTTAAAAGAAAATACGTTTCATTTTAATCAGTTTGTTTTGTATTTCGTTCAAGGATGAATTTACCACAACATTGTAATAGAATAGAATTTACAAGAATGAAATCAGCTAATATTATATCGAGGGTTCAATGACACAAAGACGTAACCCCATATTTTGCCAAAATGAGTATTTGATATCAAAATGTTCATAAAAATGTGGGCTTTCCAGGAATTACAAAAACTGAACCCCATTCGACACCCGATTGAAGTCAATGGGTAGTGAAACATAGACTTAACTCCTAAAGGCCCAAGTGCTCAGTGACACATAAACTATTTTTTCTCAAAATGGCCAAAATGAAGTTACGTCTTGTGTCACGACCCCTCGATATTATCCTCAGCATTTTTTTTTTTAAATTGACATATTAGACAATACATACTTTTAATGACTTAACTTTAAAAAAAATTAAAACTATGTTTTAAAAACGACGTTCTTGCATACACTTCTTTTAACCAGGAATTTTCAAGGGAATCCGATCGTGGAAATCGCCCCGGAAAGCTTTACGCAAATGCAAGCCCTCGAGGACATGTAAGTTGGTTTTCCTGAAACTAGAATTTTTAAGACTACATTATATTCATTTGATATTGCCATTATTCTCCAAAATGAAATCATAGCAGTAAAAAAATGGAAAGGTATGAATGAATAACCTTGGGTGATACGAGCAAAACATTCACAAAGTATCCGGCTTAAAAGCGAATGAGAAAAAGTCGAATTTTGTTAGCCTACCGATCCACATGGAGTACGGATTATGACCGATTAAACCAAAATAATTGTTCTCGAGTTGATATCAATCATTTTTGCAGATAATCCTCCTGCCTAAAATTTATATTGGATTTTAACTGTAATTATGTATGATAACATAAAAGGCTAATAGAATAGTTAAAACTTTAAAGATGTTATGCCTGCTACATTACGAGGCTGTGACTAATACGGAAAATTTGCTTTGCCATGTAAAGTGATATCAAACAAAAACTGAATGCTAAATGAATAGAGGGAATATTGCGTTTCATTACTGGCACATAGGCAAATTGCCTTCATAGGTATGATTAGCGTACTAATAACATAATGAAAATGGCGCCTCCTGTCCAACGGTCTTAACGACTTTGACGTGTCAGTGACGCACGGTTCTTGCATCCAATTCATCATGGCTTGTTTTGTGTTCCTTTCTAAAGATCAGGGCCCCGTCTTACAAAGAGTTGATATCAATCGCAACTATGTACATATTAGAGATATGAGACTGCAAGCTTGCGATTGATTTGGATCAATCGTAAGTCTTGTAAGACGGGGCCCAGTTAGTCAATACCTTAAACGAATCATTAAAATTGTGTTCGCACCGAGTTTACTTTGTTATCTTTTCTTCTTTTCCTTTCCGTCGCAGACACCTTCTTTCGGCGAAATCCATCAGTCTTTATCCGGAAATTTTCAAATTCGGCCCGAGTTTTCAAACAGTGTAAGTTCAATACAAAATATTTTTGCTACGGAAAACATGATAATGAAATGGAAAAACCTCTTCGGAAACACTTGAAGTTTGCTAAAGCGTTATTCCGTCCATTTCAATGGCGAAAGCATTCTGACTCAACTCAAGGCCTAGTTTCTCTAAGCCATCATACCTCTTAGTTTTTCGGATACCTCATACAAACATGTGTTACAGGTTTAGCACGCGTTTCAATGGAATGTCCATGAAAATGACGGTTTCCATTCCTGGTGTGTGTTTCACAAAGACTAAGATCGACGTTAAGTTGGAGTTAACTATGGCACGTTGTTCATGCCACTGTTTGCTCTCACCATTTACTGGTGTTGGTCTCTCAAGGAATGTATAAATCGTGGTCACATTTCTACAGAATTTACCTTTTTTGATAGTTCATTATTGAAGGGAAAAATATTATCTAAAGATCAGAATTGAGAGAGCAATGGGGAGAGCAACCCGTGGAATGAATGGCCTACTATAGATAAGTCGAACTTAAAGTCAATCTTAGTCTTTGTGAAACACTCCCCTGGACCCTGGTCAACGCATCAGCCAATACCGTGTCTTGAATGACGCTTAAAGTGAGCAAATTGCTTACAGTTCAGGCATCATTATAGATGCTTTTTCGCATCAACCCGAGGGCCCTGGACGTAACTGGTTTGTTTGTTTTTCAATTACGTCAGATTGACCTTGCTCACTGCAGTAAAATAATGCAAAAAATACGGAAAATGACGTCACTTTGTTTTCTTATAGTACCATTTCATATTTCTTTTTGATGTGGTAGCACTGTGGTTTTAGGTAAGAGCTCTAAGTCTTGGGTTCGATCCTAGCACACGAGGCGTTATTCCACTACGCTTATAATCATTTTCAAATTCAGTGGTGCCTCTGTGAACAGTTGACAGTTTAGGCCATGTACAGATAATGACGGCTGCACACACATTGCCGCGCCCATCCTCGTTGGTTGTTTCGTCGATGTCGATTTAAATCGAATCCAAAGTTTTTGTGAGGCTATAGGTTGCGCCTAGATATTTCCCGTAAATTAGTGGCATTAGAATAATGGCGCAATGGAATGTACACCCCCTGTGCTACTGGTAAAATAGAGAACATCACATGCCCGTTCGAAAATGCATGTTTCACAGCCACAGGCTAATGACATTAATATGTTTTTTTTTATATAGACTTGTCTTTGACCCTCGGATGTGCTGTATCATGCCTGATGGTGTAACCTGTACCATCATTGAGCCACCCCATCCTCTCTTCACCTGCCGTAAAACATTCCTCCAAAACAACACCGTCAAAGTCTTCATTTGGATATTAGGGATCAGTGCCCTCATCGGGAACGCTATAGTCATCTACATGCGACTCACCGGAAAATCCAAGTCGTCGGCCATCGCGTCCATCCAATCCACGTTGATCACCAACTTGGCCGCGGCGGACTTCCTCATGGGAGTGTACATGGTTATATTGGCTGTCATGGATCTGGTGATTGGTGATACGTATTTCTGGGAAGGCAGGGCCCAGGAGTGGCGGTCTAGCCTTTCTTGTCAGATAGCAGGCTTCATGTCCTTCCTCAGCAGCGAGGCATCCGTCTTCTTGGTAACCCTGATCAGCGTTGATCGCTTCATTTGCATCATCTTTCCCTTCACCCTTCGACGTTTGACCGTAGGATCGGCCCGTCTGGCTGTCTTTATGATCTGGATCGCATCCATTCTCCTCGCCGTCGGCTCCATCCTCGTCAACAAACTCAACCCAGACGCGTATAGCTTGAGCGATGTCTGCGTCGGCCTGCCTCTCATCCGCAAGCTCACCGACCTCAATTCCGAGATCGATGCCTACACGTATTCCCAGTTCGGTCACACCCGATACAACATCGTCGCTTCATCCTCCATCTCGACCTGGCAGTTCTCCATCGCCGTGTTTCTTGGCCTGAACCTGATCAGCTTCTTGGTCATTCTCGTCAGCTACATCGCTATCTTCTTCAAGGTGCGTCTCACCCGTCAGGAGGTCGGACGCAAGGCCGCTGGCTCCTCGGACGACGTCAGGATGGCTTTCAAGATGTTGCTGGTCGTCGGGACGGATTTCTTCTGTTGGATGCCAATCATTGTCCTGGGCATCCTGGTCCAAGCTGACATCATCATCCTCAGCTCTGACGTTTATGCCTGGCTAGTTGTCTTTGTGCTCCCAATCAATTCTTCTCTTAATCCCTTTCTGTACACCCTCATCGAACGAATCCAAAAATAATTGCATTTCAGAACGAATATACCAAAATTATGACAAATGCACATGTCTGGTGAACAGTCTGTGTATAGCCCATCGCACACTATACGATCCGACTACGTTGCGATCCTGGAAGAATTTTGCAACAGCATATAATATGAATAGTCAAATTTTAAAATCAGAATGATCGAGGATCTGAATAGTCTAATTTATAATGTCTAAAATTCAAGGGATTTCAAGCTTCTTTTGAGATGGTAATTGAAGCTAATTCTTCTCAGAATTGAAGTGACGTCAGACAATGTATGTGATGGCTTACGATTTAAATTCTGATTATAAGGCTTTAAGGCACTGAAATTCCGGTTCTTAGTACTCTTCTCATCAATCAGAAACTAAATCTGGAAGGTTATATTTGTTTTCATGTCTAATGTTATTGCCATTTCTTTAAAAATCGGATCTTAGGAGGACTGTGTAACGTACGCTGCATGGCACTATTTTCTAGGTCATTTCTCGCACCAGTATGAGAGTTACATCGCACAAAAAAAAGAGAAATCCAAAATGAATAATGCAAAAATTGTTTTGAAGAACTAGCGCATGCACTTATTTCCTTCACATTAGACTTAATAAATGTAGGTATAACGCAATCCAGATGACACGTTGTGGTATACCCGTTGGATACAAGGCGTCAACTGCTGACATATAATATAGGATTGCGTCAACACCTGGCGCATGCAGTCTTTGACGCACCAAGTGAGATTGACATCCTACGATATTGAATGCAGTGCAAACGTTGTGTTGAAATACTGGCGCATGCACTTTATCTCTTCATAATTCAATTGCCGTTGCCTAGTCACGATGCGTCATTCCGAATGCGCTAAATACAATGCGGCAGTGCTCCACTTATTCAACGCAATGTTCGTACTGTTCAAATCGTTGACATCCTCTCGTCCGAATAAATGTCTCCTTTGTGACTGTGTCTATTTAAACATATAAAATCACCCTCACTCGTAAAAAGGATTACATTTCACAAGACACCGTATATTCTATTATTTTTTTTATCATTATTATTAAGTGTTACACAAAGAACAAACTGAAAGTTAAAAGGAAATAATGCGATGTGTTTGTTTCACAGAATTATTATGGTCACAATGTCATACCTATCTTACCCCCAAATATACTATTATTCCAAAACCATTATGGTAAGAAGATATTTATTGTGTTGATGTATCGTGGAGTTTTTGACAAAAATAGATACTGGGTTATCATGTTCACATGTTCTGTTAAAACTTACACCATTTCTGACCAGTAAGGACGTCCAGTTTGCAAAATGACAGCAAACATTTTACCAATCGAGGCTACTGCTCTGTATTAAAACTAAATCGAAATTGCGGGTTTGAAAAGTTTGTTGGACTTTTATACGAGTGTTATATAGGTATTCTTCTAATTGTCTACGCAATTTCGAACAATTTACTTTTTACTAAAATATTATTGCGTACGTCATTTTCTCGTAATAGGCCTATACACATTATGATGAATTGTTGATGTAATGATTTGTATTTATGTACGTTTTCACAGTAGGTTTGAATAAATTCACGTCACGAATACACTTGCCTAGGCCTTTATTTATATGTTGCATTTATACCGTTTATGCGTACACGAAAGCTTTTACAATATGACTGTGCAAACGAGGTGGAGCAGGAAAAACTGCAGCCCCCCCTTAAATTATCCAATTTACCACTATGCAGTCATGAGTCACCTGATATTCAGGCATCGACACTTTTTCTTGTCTCTGTATTGTTTTTTTATCTTTAATATTATCATTATAATGACGAATCAAATAAAAAGTTATCAACTGATATAAAAATAGGCCAACCTAATTGGATGGCATTATAAAAGGGTCGCAATATTGTTGTACGCCAGCTCGCTTCGCAAGTTCGCGACATTAGGAACATATAGAAATGTGATATTTGGGCAACATAATTATGCCAGCCTGGCGCTGATCAGGGTGTTGATTAAATTTCTTTAAAAACCATTAATACCATCTCGTACTGCACGTTTATCAGTTCAAGGAACTTAAAAGGTCTTGACATCCGGAACGTCAGTTTTCGCATGACGGTGACAATTTTCATGAATCAACCAACCTGTCACATGTTATGTGATAACAGTCAAATGTTCTCTTCCTCCTCTTCCTCCTCCCCTCCTTCTCCTCCTTCTCCTCCTCCTCCTCTTAATCTTTTTTCTCTTCTTCTTTTTCTTCATTGCCTTCAGCTTCTTATTTTGCTTCAGTTTTCTTGTTCTCCTCTTCTTCTTCTTCTTCTTCTTCTTCTTCTTCTTTCTCTTCTTTCTTTCTTTATTTATTTTCTCTTAATCTTCTTCTCATCCTCCTCTACCTCTTCCTCCTTCGTCTCATCCTCCTCTTCCTTCTTCTTCTTCCTTTTCCTTTTTCTTTTTCTTCTGATTCTTCTTCTATTTATCTCCATCATTATTAAATAATGCACATCGTCATTGTGATATGAATAAACTGTAACGTATGTTTTACTGGATTTTTATGCTTTATGACTGATGACGTACACTAATATTCTAAGCGGGGGTAGGGGCGGATTCATGCAGGATTATGTAAAAGTGGGAGTAAAATTGTCAACAAAATCTTAAAGAGAGAGGACAAAAATAGAAATTAAAAAAATGGAAAGTTTATTTAACTTAAAAAGGGGGTCAATTCCCTAAAATTTCCGACAAAAAAGTTCCCCCTCTCCGCTTAGATCCGCCCTACATTTATTTATTCTATTTCTGATAGTTATACAGGGTGGCACATAATTATCACCAATTTGGTGGTCTTCCGTGAGGCCCTGTTTTGGTCAGAATAAAACAAACAAACTAGATAAATACACAAGCATATAAACAGGTAAAATACAAATTAGTTGGTATCCTCATGAAATTCTCGTCAGGAGAGAAATTGAAGAGATTGAAAGAGAGAGCGTGAAGAGACAAAGAGACTTAGAAAATCATAATAGAGAAAGAAGATTATGAGAATATCAAATGAGTGATATAATGTAGGCAAACGAAGGAGTCATAAGACCTATAACTTCCCTAACCTTTTCTTTTAGGGCTATTGGATTTAGTATTCACATTATCTCAAATTCATCGCCGATCAAGATGGCTGCGAAATCAAGATCCTTTCTGTAAATAAAAACCCTTTCCCCCCATGCTATACACGCTTTTTAATCATCCCAGGAATGCATCACAAATAACTACAAAATAATTGTCTTCCTAGCCCTCGCGAAAAACAATTGAAGTACTTGTATTTTAAATTTGTAATTGTGTAAAAAGTGTTCTTGCAGTATTTTGTAATTGTGCAGCTGAAGATCAAGATGGTTGTTTTTCCAAGCTTTCTGGTTTTACAAGACAATTAGCACATTCTCGAGGAGCCATTGATTGATACCTGAGAGATGCACTTCGTCTAGGTCTCCCAAGTGGAATCATCCGATAAAAAACTTGAAATAGATATTCTTTTGATGACTGACAGCTAATTAATTTTGAAGTGGCGAGAATGCAATCTGTGAGTTATTTCAACTCCCACTCTTTGATACATCATACATGCTATACGATATCAGAACGAAGCCCCACAAGACTTGTTATTTCATTTTACTAAGATAATTCAAGTTATATTCCACATACTAAGAATCTTGCTCTACGATTGGTCAAAAGTAAATCACGTGATGAAAGATAGTTCGCCCATTATTGATGGGAGAAGCAAAAAGTTCGTTACACTGTGTAGATAGTACAGTGCAACGCACTTTCACAGAAGATAGAGGTACTATCTACACAGGGTAACGCACTTTCACTGAAGATTATCCAAAAGCGCACTGAAACAGGCGTAATTAAGCGCGCATTACCAATGGGCGCAATTAAAGAAAACACATGCGCGCACCGTACCCTCAAGAGGTTGGATTAAACTTTTAACTTTTTTGGTGAGAATTTGGTCCTAGCTGTCTTTTATGTAGATGAATACACGTCCTTTTCTTTTTGTAGTTAAATAGTTTTAGATGTGATAGAAAGCAAATAATCCCCGGAAATAATCACCTTTTGGTTTCAGGCGATGGCAAACTATCACTTCCTCGTCGATCAGAATGTATACGCTATCTTTCCTCAGCTTCGCTTCGGAAAGATAGCTACATCCAGATCGCCTCGGAAGTGATAGTTTGTCCCATCACCTTCACCAACGGTAGTTATTTGCTTAATTAATACTAATAGACCAGTTGATATTGAGAGAGGAAGAGAGAGAGAGAGAGAGAGTGAGAGAGAGTGAAAGAGAGAGAGAGAGATAGAGAGAGAGAGAGAGTGTGTGTGTGTGTGTGTGTGAGAGAGAGAGAGAGAGAGAGGGAGAGAGAGCAGCTTTATAGAGCGCAGCACAAAACGTACGACTATTCGGTACAATTAAGGGTCTGAAAATTAGACTATTACTTTAGTGATGGCAATCATTAAAGTCGATTCGACAACTAATGATCGTTATTTCCCACTTAAAGGTACTATGTCCCATTTGCAGGCCAATAAAAATGAAAAGATTAAATTCCAACGGCAGTTGAAAGATAACTATACCAATTTAGAACTTCCCTAAAAAAAAAAGGGGGGGGGGGGCTTGAAAACGTCTTTAAGTGGGAAAATAACGACTATTAGTTGTCGATTCAACTTAAGAGCTATAGAGCCAGTAAGGAATAGTCTGATTTTCAGACCATTGTACCGAATGGTCTTACGTTTTATGCTGCGCAAAGATTCAATCAGTTTAATTTTGGCCATTACAATTAAGAAGTGGATTATTGATGAAGATCGACAAAATACTCATGTACCCTTTACAGCTCATTTTATGTACTATGTTATTACCAAAGAGGAAGAAAAAGCCAGTCAGTCACTCAATAGTGTCTGACACTGAGTGCATAAAGTCCAGCAAGTAAACGGGTTTCCTTGCATAATTTGAATATAAGAACCCTGCTAACGTTTAAATTTCACAGATAAAGGACATATACATGACATAATTAGATGTTATCCACTCCGACATTGAAGCCCTTTCGTTTGGATCGGGAAGTTGTAAATTACCATTATCTTTCAAGTGCCGTTAGAATGTAATTACCCTTTTCATTTTTTGCTTGGCCTTGTGTTTACATTTTGTCGGTTTCATACTCTGTTTCTGTGGCTTGACTACATGTTTGAGATAAATCAGCCCCCGGCCCCCTCCCCCCCTCCTAAAAAAAAAATGTATAGGCTACCGGTACTAGGCCAATATATTATATAATAAATTGACGCCACAACTGTGTTTAAAAAAAAAATTGTTGTCGTTGTTGTTGTTGATCATCACTATTATCTTCGTCGTTTTCCTCCTCGTCGTCGCCTTCATCGTCGACGTTGTCGCCCAGGGGCGGCCGAGCGACTTCCAAAGTGGGGGGGGGGGCACCAACAAAAAAGGCACTTTCTGGAAAAAAGGGCACCTACAGTGGGAAATCTCAAAGCGAAAATATACAATTTTTTAGACATTGGTATATACCCCTACATTGTGATTACATTATCAGGGATGATTTCAATATTTGTTTCTCTTCATACATCATACAAGATATCGCTTAAGCATCATACTTTACAGTTGGGTGTGATGTCTGAATATGCATTTACGAGCGAGCGAAGCGAGCGAGAAAAATTTTAAAGATCTGTGAGGTCGCAGTGTGAAAAATTACATCTTATAGAGAGGAAAAAAGCCAATCGTGATGGGGTTATAAGCACATTCTCATAACGGAAGACTGAAAAGACCTTTGATAAGTAACATAATTATATCATCTTTAAATGCGAGCGAGCGCAGCGAGCGAACTTTTGCTCTTATTCGCTTTAAATAAGGGGCACGTTTAATGATTACATGAAAAGGGGACAATTATCGAAAGGGATAAGACACTTATTAGAAAAGAAAAGGAGCACGTGTCAAAGTACAAAGGATAATTATAAGGGTGAAAATGAGGCATTTTTTTCACCTGAAAAGAGGCACTCACCAGTGATGAAAAAGAGGCGTTTACGAAAATGGGAAATAGGCATTTGTTGACGGAAAAGGGACACCCATCAGATTTTGATAAGGGCATTTATAAGAGGTGAAAAGGGGATAGGTCCCTTATTAGAAAGGAAAAGGGGCACGTATCATTATTAAAAGGGGAATTATCAGAGTTAAAAGGAGCACTGACCAGATATGAAAAGGGGCACTTATGAAAATGTAAAAGGGGCACTTATAATAAAGGAAAATGTGCATTTGGTGAATGAAAAGGGGGCACTGTTCAGATTTTTAAAAGGGGCAGTTATGAGAAGGGGAAGGAGCTCTTTCTTTTTAATGGGGGCACTTATCATAAGGAAAAGGGACACTTATTAGAAAGGGAAAGGGGTAGTTGTGAGAAGGGGAAGGAGCTCTCTCTTTTTAATAGGGCCACTTATCATAAGGAAAAGGGGCACTTATTCGAAAATAAGAGGGGCACATGTTAAAATGAAAGGTGTGCTCATCCGAGTTTAAAAAAGGGGTAGTTATTAAAAGGAGAAGGGACACTTCTTACAAAGGAAAAAAGGGGAAGTTGTCAAATTAAAAGGAGCACCTCTCAGTTTTGAATAAGGCAATAATCAGAGGTGAAGGGGGCAATTATTAAAAGTGAAAAGGGGCACTTCTCGTACCTGAAAAGAGGCACTTACTAGAGATTAAAAAGGGCACTTATTCAAGATAATTTCAAGATTGATGAGAATGGAAAATGGACACTTATTGCAAAGGAAAATGGGAACATGTCGAAGGAAAAAGGGCACGTGTCAAAAATAAAAAGGGCACTCGTCAGAGGTGAAAAGGGGGAAGGGGCACTTTTACTAAGTAATAGGGGCACTTGTCAAAGTAAAAGGGGCACCTTTCCTATGTAAAAGGGGCACTTCTTACAAAATAAAAGGGGCACTTTTCCTATCTAAAAGGGGGCACTTTTGGGGTATCTGAAAATCTGAAAAAATCTGAAAAAGTGGGGGGCACTGTGCCCCCCCCCCCCCCCCCCCCCGGAGGGCCGCCTCTGTTGTCGCCATCATCAGCTGTGTCCGTTTGGCAACCTGGGCAGCGTTTCTCGAAACCGTCATAACTACAAGTTCACCGACATCCCGTTGAAACGCGTGTTAAACTTAATACACGCGTTTCAATGGGATGTCGGTGAACTTGTAGTTATGACGGTTTCGAGAAACGCTGGCCAGTCCAATCGAATCGCAATCACATTACACGTGCTGCGCTAGCTGCCGCCGAGTTTCAAGCCACATTGGTGAATGCAGACTCGATAGAAATGGCGAAACATCTCTCATCCAACCGTCTTCGCTGGGATTTGAGCCCAAGTGACATCAAAACCCGTGCTGAAGAGCTCAAAGTAACAACGAAAGCTGTTTACGATGCTGTGGGAAGTGTTTCAAAGGAAAATGTGACGTATGAAAACATTATTCAAGTGAGTATTGTGTCGTGAACAAGTGGTGGTAGAGAAGTTGGGCACAGCTGGTCCTGGAGAACCACTGCAGCAGCGTGGGCACGCGGCTAGCTACCCCATGAGTTCCTATCTTGTTCGGTAGTCGTAGAGTGGCACTGCACTCCGCGCGATGCAATGGAGGTGCTCAGCTCACCGGCCGCGCCGCACATGTCAACTTATTTTCGTGATGGTGCAATAGGTCTACATGTATACAATGGTAAATTTTGGAGAAAGAAAACTCTTTGAGTTTCAGCTTTTTATGGAAATTCTTCGGCGCTCTGCACGTCTTGGTTTCCGTATCCGTGCGATGGCGATGTGAAAAACGAAAAAACAGTTCACAGAGACGCCAAGTTCAAATATCGGCAATGCGTGACATTTTCATGATTCGGCGCACGAGCGCAAGTGCGAGGGTATAAGATATAGCGTTTTTTCAAAATCTAGCGCGCGCATTGTGCACATTTTCAGACCCTCGAAATGCGTGATATCACGCCAAATGGCATGCGTGATACTTGGTAACTCTGAGTTCACCGTCTACTTTTGATGTGTGTGTCCTTCCGAGGATTTATCGCCCATAATGTGAAAGTCTCTGTACAAAGCAGGCATGTAAAATGCATCAAGAAAATGATCGCTGAACCCCCCCCCCCCCCTTAAAAACTAAAAGACAAAACTAAATATTAAAAAGTCATAATTTAATCCAATTTTTTTTCTTCTAAAGAGGGTAGTAAAATGGATAGAAATTATTCGAGAAAACAAAGGACGGACATGACGCCCTTAATTGTGTCAGTCCCCGTTTTATTTCATTTTATTGATACCTTCCCCGAAGCTCAGAGAATATATATCCTGAAAACAAAAAGGGTGAAAGAAAAAATAAGAAATTGGGAATGTCGGTAATAAATGTCGGTAAACAATGCTGTTTTAAAAACCAAAGATGGCAGAATAATCATTTTCCTACATGTCCAAACAGAAATCCAGACATTTGGTCCCAGTTTCTGAGTGGTGAGTTTGACAGTGCTTGAGTTGGGAAACATTTTTACCGACGGCACCATGCCAGCGGCTGCCGCTCACCCAGGCACGGGTAAGCGTCGGCCTGGACAGATTTTTTTTTTTTTTTTTTTTTTTTTTTGCGGCCGAATATTCGGTTACAAGAAATCGTACCCGAGTAGTTGTCAACCGTGCGGATACTCGAGAATTCGACTACACGTCGCAGCCCTAGTCGGTAATGAAGGTCTATGAAGTATGAAACCAAGTTACGTGTTTCCTGTGTATTTTGTGTGTATCACTTCTCTTTTTAAGATATAAAACTGCGGACAGCCATTGTTAGTATTGAGTAGATGTCGCTTACCCCCCCCCCCCCCCCCCCCCTTAAAAAAAATAATTTTAACAATTAGCTTCTTACTTCCTCTTTTTTAAGTAACAGTTTCAAAACATATATTTGTTTTCCATTGGCCTTTTAAATCACACTACAGATAGAAGAACAATGAAGAAGTTCGATTCATTACTTGTATATATTTAGAACCTTGTGGACATGCAAAGATATTGTGGAGCAGCCAGCACCTGTCAGAAAGCCATTTTACCTGACAAGCAATTAAACAAAAATTATAGGTTACACATTTTTGCAGAGATAACTATAATCCATCCTTCTAACAATTCAGGTTATCCACACAATTGTGTGCATGGTATGCAAATGCCACTAATGGTGGTTTGGACTTTATTCTTGTGTGTAAATGAGTCATTTCCTTATGCAGTGCATACAGTAGTATTTCATTATCAATATTTTTTTCATAAGGACACTCGTAGCCTGTCCTACTATATGAATGAGAGACTATTGTGAGTCTGTATCACCAAGACAATAGATGCATTTCACCGTGAGCCAAGGACAGTAATGGGTAACCATAGCAACAATGTAAACTGGGCAGCTGTCTCCATGGTAGTACTCCCGATACGATGTATTCCTCAGTGTAGAAGTTCCACTGGTGCACACAAGTACCCTCTACGCACTGTGTACGCACACTATATGCCAGAGAGCCCGTTGGGTTTAAATGCTCTGTCATGTTATGCTCCATTGCATTCTTGTTATGGTCGGGGAATGGGTCCCTTTCTCCCCCTCTTCAGTGGCTTTTGTTTGACTAGTCAGCCAGCCAGCTATTATACCTGTAACTGTATTGATCATTACAATCAATGGAGCTTGTATGACATGTGAGAACTGTAGAAGCAAAGTACAAGCGTACATACTCTTGTAGAAAGCCTTTGTTGTAGCAGAGTGCTGCCAAAAGTTTCATTTTCAATTTCATAATATCCTGCTATGACGACAGACAAACAAAAAGCCAGCTCTGCCCTGAATAAACATGATATCCCTACTCTTTATGAAAAATTCTGATGTGCCAATTTGTCAAACATTAAAAATAAATTTTCAATACATGTAAATATGCTCATGATTGATTGAAATATCTTTTATTTCGAACAAAAAAAATCTTTTTCTTTATGAAAGTTTAGATGGGTTCATAAATTTCAAAGCTTCATGTAATAGAAGATTTGTATTAAGATGAACAATTTAGTGAGATATTTTATTCTTTAATTTGGATTCGCAAAATTTAGGACACCTTTAAAGTAAATGTTTTATATTTCTTTCTTCTGTTCAGGCCCTGGCTAACAATGATTGTGAGTATGGTGTTATGCGTAACATGCTGGACTTTCCTCAACATGTCGCTCCCAGTAAAGAGCTGAGGGAAGCAAGCACCGATGCAGATAAAGTCCTCTCAGAGTTTGATGTCGAAATGAGGTGAGTGTTACTATTTTGTGGTTTAGACCTTAGATGCTATTTTGTTTTATTTTATTTTTCGTTTAGTAGTGCCCTTTTTGCAGTTCCTCCTTTTTTTGTGTGTCTCCGCTACAAAGTAGCTCGAGGCATTATTTTGATATAGTTTTCTCCTGTTTGTGCAGCCTTTTCACTCACTCTCTTTCTTCCCACCTCACACTTCCCCCCCCCCCTTCCCCCATTTGTCTGTCTCTCTTTCTAATTTCTAAATATATATCATTTCCTGTCTGCATTTTGTTTCCGTTCAGTCTTGATCTTTGATGAAATGAAATCCAAAGCAGTTGTTACCAAAGCAAATGTCGGGGTCACTAAAATTACATTGTAAATTTCATGCACATGCTTTTTGTTCATGTTTCAGTATGCGTCAAGATGTGTTTGACAACCTTGTTGCATTCCAAGAGAAGACGGATGTGAGCAGTCTGAAGCATGAAGCTAAGAGATACCTTGAGAAGAAGATCAAGCTTGGTCGCAGAAACGGTAAGTTTCAGGGTTTTGTGGAGAATGGAAGTTATTGGAAGTGAAGTTTAACATCAGAGAACCAATGTGGGGCAGGCCTGAAGTTCAAGCATAGTGTCACAAATAGTTGAGGGGCTGAGAGAGTGGGTGTATTTGGAAATACAGTGTAGGTATTCATGGAAATGAGTGAAAACCTGAAGCAAAGATACATCTGTAGGAGAAGTTCATACTGGGTCACAGGAATGGTGTGTTCAGATGTTTTAGCAGAGCGGGTTGCTTGGACATGAGGAATAGGTAATAAGATGACTGATGTGAGCAGTCTGAAGCGTGAAACTAAGAGATACCTTGAGAAGAAAATAATGGTTGGTCGCAGAAATGACAAGTTTTAGGGTTTAAGGAGAGTGGAAATTATTTGAAGTGGTGTTTATCTTCAGAGAACCAATGTAGGCAGGCCTGCAGTTAATAGGTATGTGGAGAACTAGATTAAGCAGAGTTGCACAAATAGTTCAGGGGTACGGAGAGTGAGGGGTTTTGAAAATGTAGTTTTGATAATCAGAGAATGAGTGAAAATCTAAAGCTAAGAGGTTTGTGTAGGTGGAGTACAAGATAAAACAGAGTAACAGAAATGGTTCAGAGACTTAAGAGGCTCAACAGTGAGTTACGCAGTTTTAACAGATGGAGGAAGGAGGTGGTTCTTTGGAAATACCTATGGGTAATTGGGATATGGGAAGGCTAAACATGTTCATCTCCTGTCATCCTCTAGGTCTGCATCTACCCAAGGACGTCCAGGATCAGGTCAAGGCCTTGAAGAAGAGAGCCAGTGACATTGGCATTGACTACAACAAGAACGTCAACGATGAGAACACCATCCTGGAGTTTGCAGAGGCTGAGCTAGGTAAGAGAAACGGGTTTGGAATGCTCAGGAATTGTTAAAAGCTTATCAATCAACTGAAAGGTTCTGTTAAATCCAACTTCATGTTATGGTTGCAATAAATAAATGATAATAATAGTAGCTTGCATATGAATATTTTCATTGGCCATGACCAACCATATTGGCATTGACTTGTCTAGGATATTGACTTTCGCTGATCTGTTTTTCAGAAAAATTTCTGCTGTAATTAATTCCAACTTGACACCTGAGTAAATTATCCTGTAATACCTCAGTAACTATGCCAAAAGACGAAACCTTGGCTATTCAGAGTAAATTTGTTTTCTCGTTCTGTCTATTCTTGGCCAATCTTGTCTGTGTGGTTGGGCTGCAAGAGCATAGTAAAAAGGGAAGCTACATGTGGAGCATCCAATCACAGAGCACTGCTTCCAACTAGAACCTTGATGAAAATATCTGAATTCAAAAAGGAATCTAAGGATGGAAAAGATGTTTTAGTCAGGGATTAGAGGTATAGAAAAGGGTTGACACTTTGCATGTGGATGCAGTTGACAGGTTTTGATGTTTCCTCTGATTCTTGCAGGTGGATTACCAGATGACATCATCAAGCGTCTTGAAAAGGTAAGTATCTTATTTGCTTAATTTGATTCGTCCCGATTTAGGTTTCTCGAGAACGCGACACAATTTACATCTTACGTCTCAAAGTATTCAACAAAGGCCATAATTAAACCAGTACACCTTTCATTTAGGCCTGTAACCAATCGTTGGATCGGGGGCCGATCATGAGCTGATCAGGGGTGATCGGATAATAATTTCCGATCGCGTTCAATAAAAATGATCGGATTTATTTTTTATTTATTTTTTTTTTTTAATGCTGAAAATTTTCAAGTTTTTAGCTGTCAAATGCTTTAAAAAAAATTCATGGCCAGGATTATTTTGTCATTTGGAAGATGTAGACCATGTTTGTTGATATTTAGTGCCTTTTCTGTGACTTTGAAATTAATAATATTGGTCTAACAGAAGAGGCAAAACATGTGGGCCGCCATCTTGGATTATAATGCATGCCTACATTATAATCCAAGATGGCGGCCCGCATGTTTTGCTGATTTTTGCCGATACCGATCACAGGTGCGAGGGTGTCGCTCCGATCTTCCGATCCGATCAAAGCCCCAACTTACAGGGTTACTTTCATTCTTGAGTTACAAAAAACACAAAATTAACAAGGGGTATGAATAATTCAGATGTTAACTGTCGTATTACTTTGTTTCTTACACGTTCTTCTCTAGACCCCTGAAGGAAAATGCAAGGTAACCTTGAAGTACCCTGACTACTTCCCCGTGATGAGAAAGGCACACAACCCAGAGACAAGACGCAAGGTGGAGACTGCCTTCAATTCAAGGTACAGTCTACAGCATGTACATCTTAATGATTGACTGGCTTCCAGTCAATGCTTATATATAAATACATAATGGGATTTGATAATCTATGATATATTATAAGATGGTTAGAAGAATTCCTGCAAGCTGATTGGTCAATTACCGTGTAGTTATTTTTACTGGATGCACGCGATATCAACACGATATATGCGATATTGGAATCGATAACACCAATATCCCGATTGCTTGCACTTTCTCTCTTCTCCACTAAGAAAAACAACCAAACCCAAAACAAGATGGCGAAATCGCAGCGGCGATTTGATTTTCCAGTTTCTATAAGAAGAAGAATTATCTAAATTGTTGGATGATTCAGATCCGACTAGCATAAAAATTTCAATTAAAGTATGGCTTCTCAAAGTTGGAAAAGTTTGCACAGATCAAGAACGTCAATTTAGGAGATATTTTTATGCCAGAATTGGACAAACTGTTATCGTTCTAAACTAAGTTCTATGCTTCTGTACATAGACTGACGGTGAGTTGTAAACTTAGACTTTAGTACCTTCGCTGTGGCATACAACGCCACTTTTTGGATCACTGTACTTTAGATATCTGTAACAAATTTCAATTTCTCGAGGCTGTGTTGGTGAAACTGAAGCGAGAGGGGCCAGGAAGCACCACACATAAAGCCTCAATTTCTGTACTTGATATGGACAAGATCCAGACCTCTTCTAATTTAGATTGAATGCAAAATAAGTTTTTATTGATTTAATGACTTTCTTTTGTTATGGTTTCATGTAAAGGTCAGTTAGGCCTGATTTTATTTTGTTGAGGTTTAGGCCTAAGTTATTCTATATTTGTTTAAATCCATTGCACTAAGTAACAAAAGACAAATAATGTAAATTTAAAAATCATGCGTCTTTTAATTACCGGACGAATGATTTAGCCATGCATCTGGTAAATCTTTAAAATATCATTTTGTATTTTTGAAAATTTTGGGCCCCATCTTATAAAACAGATGATGCACAGGTTTAATTTGTGGGTCGGTGGAATTGTGTGCACGCGGTACCTTTGAATTTGGTCTAAAACCATTCAAAGGTACCATTTGCACACAATCCCTACCGACGCACTCAAACCTGTGCATCATTTGTATACTGGAACGGTCCCTGTAGGTCTTTGAAAAGCTCCAAAATCTTTTAAAGAAAAACAAAATGGTTGGAAGAGATATTTCTGGATTCTTTGATTGGTGTCAGTGTAATAACTAATGCTCTCGTATTCATAATAACGGTGAATATTAAAGGGTAATCGATCTTGAAGCAAACTGCTCTAGAAGAAAGCAGAAGAATAAAAAGGCAGACTGGTGAAAGTTTGAATATAATCAGACATAAATTGAAAAAGTTGTGATTATTTTTAAAGTTTCAACCACTATTGGTATGGGCTCTTCAAATTAGCTGAGTTAGTAATGTGTATGTGATGTAATGTAGTTCCTTCTCTCCATTACAGCTCATAGAGACGTATTTATGATATGTGCTATATAAGAAGGGCATATTCTTATTAATACATCGTTAGAAATACTATATATTGCTTAAAAAATTAGACTACATGTATATAAGAGTGGACCTTTAACACAGGGGCCAATGTTGGTTTCTCTTCCAAAATGACCAGCGGTATTTACAAAAGCATTTTTCTAAGTTGCATCAAGTAGCAATGGCTGTCCATTACTCAACTTGTACTTTATTCATCTACAGATGCAAGGTGGAAAACACCAAAATCTTGGAAGAACTAGTGGAGATACGTGCAAAGGTAAGAGCAGAAGTGTTGTAGTTGACTTCTCATAGGTTCTTCCTTTATATCCCCAGCTTTTTAGTTTGCTTGAATAACAGTTAATATGTAACATTTTCATTGATCACCCTTGTAGATTGCTTTTCCTAAATGTATATAGATATCTTTTTCATAGCTATGTTCATGTCTGCATTGTATTTAAGAAAATAAGAAAAAATTGTGGCAGTCTGACCCATTACTGAGGTTTTCAATTTAAGGGACTTTGTATCTTAATCTTCTCTCATGTATTATGACAAAAAATGAGACACACATGGCCAAAGAACTCTTCAAATAATGCTGAACTACGAGAATGAGACAAATCCCCCCTGAAATAAATGGTCTTGGCAGCTTGTTATGTCACCTAAACTGATGAATTCTGCATCTCTTTCTCCTCTCTTACAGCTGGCTAAATTACTAGGTTACTCCACCCATGCCGAGTACATCCTTGAGATGCGCATGGCCAAGACACCAGAGACAGTGGCCACCTTCTTGAGCGGCCTGGCTGAGAAGCTTCGTACCCTGCAGCGTGAGGAGCTAGAAGGCTTCCTCAAGTACAAGGAGGAAGATGTGAGTAGCTGTTTTGAGCCAATGTCTATGAGAAAAGACAGTAAAACCTGTGTAGAAAGACCTCCAAGGGAGACGCAAAGAGCGATCTTTATAAACAGGTCGTCTTTACACAGAGAGAGTGGGGGAAGAAAAGGACTGTTGGTAGTCTGTTGGTAATATTTCTTGATTTTATAATTCTAAGGAGAACTAAAGCACCGGTTGGAGAGGATGGGTAGTAGGTTGTCTTTATGTAGTGGTTAACTTAAACATGTTCTTTCTATAAGAAACGTAATTTCAGAGGAAATGAAAATTGTGGTCTTCTCAGGCAAGTAATATGTCTCTTTAGTAGTCACTAAAGCAGGATTGACTGAACATAACTTCTGGGAAGAAAGCGACGGGGTAATGTAGTGACAGAACAACAGGCCAGGGAATCTATAGACGAGGAATACAATGACGGAAAAACATAGGGACAAGGGCAGGCCTGATAAAAACCTGATTTAAATCAGTTTGCTGATTTTTTTTTTGATTTTTCCAGATTTTTTTTTTATTTTTCAAGATTTTTTCCCCGATTTTTTTTCTTTCTTCCCGATTTAAAAAAAAAAAATCATATATTTTTTTTTTTTTTTTTCTTCCCTATGTTATCCTGATTTTCCTCTTATTTTCTCTATTCTTCCATGTTTTGCCCTATTTTTGTCCCAATTTTCTTACTCGAAAGGGGGGAATGTTGTTGGATGCCATTTTTTCCACGCGAATCCTCTTCTTTTATTTTTACTCAAGGGGGGCGTGGTTGAGGGGAAAACAAAAAACCTATTTTTTTTTTAGTACTCACTATCACCCCTGCATGTTTAAGAAGAGTGGAGAGGGCTTTGTGATGTGGGTTCACAACACCCTTTAACCACCAGTTGATATATGATAACACCTGTGTGTAGGGGGGGGGGGGGGGGAGGCAGGGGGAGGTTGTCATGTTTGAGAACAGTGCAGATAGCTGTGTGATGTGGGTTCACAACACCCTTTTACCACCAGCTGATATATGATGACACCTCTGTGTGTAGGGGGGGGGGGAGGCAGGGGGAGGTTGTCATGTTTGAGAACAGTGCAGATAGCTGTGTGATGTGGGTTCACAACACCCTTTTACCACCAGCTAAAATGTGATTATATCTGTGTGTAGGGGGGGGGGGGTGAAGCAGGGGGAGGTTGTCATGTTTGAGAACAGTGCAGATAGCTGTGTGATGTGGGTTTACAACACCCTTTTACCACCAGCTGAAATATGTAAACATCTGTGTGTACGGGCTGATATAAGATTAGGGGGGGGGGGGAGGCAGGGGGAGGTTGTCATGTTTGAGAACAGTGCAGATAGCTGTGTGATGTGGGTTCACAACACCCTTTTACCACCAGCTGAAATATGAAAACATCTGTGTGTAGGGGGGGGGGGGGGGGGGGGGGGGGGGGGGGGAGCCAGGGGGAGGTTGTCATGTTTGAGAACAGTGCAGATAGCTGTGTGATGTGGGTTTACAACATCCTTTAACCACTAGCTGAAATATATTTACACCTGTGTGTAGGGGAGGGAAGTGGGGTTGTCATTTTTGAGAAGAGTGCTGAGAGCTGTGTGATGTGGGTTCACAACACCCTTTTACCACCAGATGATATAAGTTTACACCTCTATGTTGGTGGGGGGGGGGCAGGGGGAGGTTGTCATGTTTGAGAAGACCCTTTTACCGCCAGCTGATAAAAGATTTCACCTGCGGGTGGGGGGGGGGGGGTGGTTGTCATGTTTAAGAAGAGTACAGAGAGCTGTGTGATGTGGGTTCACAACACCCTTTTACCACCAGCTGATATATGATGACACCTCTGTGTGTAGGGGGGGGGGGAGGCAGGGGGAGGTTGCATACCTGCCAACCACTCCGATTTAGGCGGAGTTACTCCGCTTTTTTCATACCCACTCCGAATTCCGATTGCATGCCTCAAAACTCCGATTTTTTTAAATTTTAAAATATTTTTTAAAACAAACGACTGTTGCATAAGACTTAAGCATAACACAGCACTGATAACCAGATCACGCCTTACGGGGAAACGATAAACAAAAGTACTTTATATAGCGAATGCCGCCTTATCACATAGCCTCCGCACACAGCGCTGCATGTCGCACGCATTCACTCATAGCTTCACTGAATTTGACTACACTGGATAGGCACTTTCGCGCACATGGTCCGTCCGCCGCCATCTTGTTTAATTCCAAAACAACACGGCCGCTACGTATGCTACGTGCGTTCGTGCCTTTTGAGGGGAGCATGGGGGTAGATGATCGTGCGCATGGCGCCCGCAATATAGAAGCGAAGACTTCGGTGATTCAGCGGGCGCATTGCAAGTGCAGTGCGGTATACGGTGTGTTGTTGTTCATGAACGCCGGGCCTAGCGGCCTGGGCTGGTGTGTCTGTGGTACTGGTGAGTGTACGTGTGCGTGTGTAGAATACGAGTTCTGCCATTTGACTGTGGATTCAAATTTGCCATTCGACGCTTGAACGAGGTGTTTTCTTCCTGAATATTATCATGGATTCACTCAAAAGAGCGAGTACCCGAGAAGGAGATCCTTTGACTGGAAACAGATTTTTAAAAAACGTTTTGATGCACATCTTTATTTTGGACTTGAATATGGTAGGTTCGAAATGCAGTAAGACTAAGAGTGATTGGGTGTTTGTGTACGTTTTGCGCGAAAATTATGCTGCGGTGTCTTGCGTTACGGAAAGACCCCCATTTGTTACGGACAAATATGGTAAATGTTACTGACAGCCATCCTATAGGGTTGGCATCTCTGCCCCCCCCCCCCCAATCTACGGGCTACTACCCCAATCCTTCGGTGGTTCGCGACCTCGTAGTCCATCCAGAAAAATTTACTCCTAATTTCTCTTGTCTCAGGTTGGCAGGTATGAGGTTGTCATGTTTGAGAACAGTGCAGATAGCTGTGTGATGTGGGTTCACAACACCCTTTTACCACCAGCTGATATAAGATTACACCTGTGTGTAGGGGGGGGGGGGGGTCATGTTTGAGAAGAGTGCAGAGAGCTGTGTGATGTGGGTTCACAACACCCTTTTACCACCAGCTAAAATGTGATTACATCTGTGTGTAGGGGGGGGGGGGGGGGGGAAGCAGGGGGAGGTTGTCATGTTTGAGAACAGTGCAGATAGCTGTGTGATGTGGGTTTACAACACCCCTTTACCACCAGCTGAAATATGTAAACATCTGTGTGTACGGGCTGATATAAGATTAGGGGGGGGGGAGGCAGGGGGAGGTTGTCATGTTTGAGAACAGTGCAGATAACTGTGTGATGTGGGTTCACAACACCCTTTACCACCAGCTGATATAAGATTACACCTGTGTGTAGGGGGGGGGGGGGTCATGTTTGAGAAGAGTGCAGAGAGCTGTGTGATGTGGGTTCACAACACCCTTTTACCACCAGCTAAAATGTGATTACATCTGTGTGTAGGGGGGGGGGGGAAGCAGGGGGAGGTTGTCATGTTTGAGAACAGTGCAGATAGCTGTGTGATGTGGGTTCACAACACCCTTTTACCACCAGCTGATATATGATGACTACTCTGTGTAGGGGGGGGGGGGAGGCAGGGGGAGGTTGTCATGTTTGAGAAGAGTGCAGAGAGCTGTGTGATGTGGGTTCACAACACCCTTTTACCACCAGCTAAAAATGTGATCACATCTGTGTGTAGGGGGGGGGGGGGGGGGGCAGGGGGAGGTTGTCATGTTTGAGAACAGTACAGATAGCTGTGTGATGTGGGTTCACAACACCCTTTTACCACCAGCTGAAATATGAAAACATCTGTGTGTAGGGGGGGGGGAGGGGGGAGGCAGGGGTAGGTGTCATGTTGAGAACAGTGCAGATAGATGTGTAATGTGGGTTCACAACACCCTTTTATCATCAGCTGATATAAGTTTACACCTCTTTGTTGGTGGGGGGGGGGGGCAGGGGGGAAGTTGTCATTTTTGAGAGACGCTTTTACCACCAGCTGATATAAGATTATACCTGGGTGAAGGGGGGGGGGGGTCATGTTTGAGAAGAGTGCAGAGAGCTGTGTGATGTGGGTTCACAACACCCTTTTACCACCAGCTGATATATGATGACTACTCTGTGTAGGGGGGGGGGGGGGAGGCAGGGGAGGTTTCATGTTTGAGAAGAGTGCAGAGAGCTGTGTGATGTGGGTTCACAACACCCTTTTACCACCAGCTAAAATGTGATCACATCTGTGTTTAGGGGGGGGGGGGGGGGAGGCAGGGGAAGGTTGTCATGTTTGAGAACAGTACAGATAGCTGTGTGATGTGGGTTTACAACACCCTTTTACCACCAGCGAAATATGTAAACATCTGTGTGTACGGGCTGATATAAGATTAGGGGGGGGGAGGCAGGGCAGGGGGAGGTTGTCATGTTTGAGAACAGTGCAGATAGCTGTGTGATGTGGGTTCACAACACCCTTTTACCACCAGCTGAAATATGAAAACATCTGTGTGTAGGGGGGGGGGGGAGCCAGGGGGAGGTTGTCATGTTTGAGAACAGTGCAGATAGCTGTGTGATGTGGGTTCACAAACATCCTTTAACCACTAGCTGAAATATATTTACACCTGTGTGTAGGGGAAGGAAGTGGGGTTGTCATCTTTGAGAAGAGTGCTGAGAGCTGTGTGATGTGGGTTCACAACACCTTTTACCACCAGCTGATATAAGTTTACACCTCTATGTGGTGGGGGGGGGGGGGGGCAGGGGGAGGTTGTCAGTTTGAGAAGACCCTTTTACCGCCAGCTGATAAAAGATTTCACCTGCGGGTGGGGGGGGGGGTGGTTGTCATGTTTGAGAAGAGTACAGAGAGCTGTGTGATGTGGGTTCACAACACCTTTTACCACCAGCTAAAATGTGATCACATCTATGTGTAGGGGGGGGGGGGAGGCAGGGGGAGGTTGTCATGTTTGAGAACAGTGCAGATAGCTGTGTGATGGGGTTCACAGCACCCTTAACCACCAGCTGAAATATATTACATCTGTGTGTAGAGAGAGGGGGGGGGGGGGGTGGTAGGCAGAAGGAGGTTGTCACATTTGAAAAGAGTGCAGAGAGCTGTGTGATTTGGGTTCACAACACCCTTTTACCACCAGCTGAAATGTGATTACATCTGTGTGTAGGGGGGGGGGGGAGGCAGGGGGAGGTTGTCATGTTTGAGAAGAGTGCAGAGAGCTGTGCGATGTGGGTTCACAACACCCTTTTACCACCAGCTAAAATGTGATCACATCTGTGTGTAGGGGGGGGGGGAGGCAGGGGGAGGTTGTCATGTTTGAGAACAGTACAGATAGCTGTGTGATGTGGGTTCACAACACCCTTTACCACCAGCTGAAATATGAAAACATCTGTGTGTAGGGGGGGGGGGGGAGGCAGGGGTAGGTTGTCATGTTTGAGAACAGTGCAGATAGATGTGTAATGTGGGTTCACAACACCCTTTTACCATCAGCTGATATAAGTTTACA